CCATGTTCTCAGACACTAGGGGAAACTGCTTCACACTGACGACTAAATGATTGCCACATTAAACTACGAGTGTGTAACTGTAGAGATGCAGACAGGTAATCCAGCTGGCGTTTCATAAGATATTAGAAGAGAAGAAGAAGAGTTTGGATTTGATATCCCACTTTATCACTACCCTAAGGAGTCTCAAAGCGGCTAACAATCTCTTTTCCCTTCTTCCCCCACAACAAACACTCTGTGAGGTGAGTGGGGCTGAGAGACTTCAGAGAAGTGTGACTGGCCCAAGGTCACCCAGCAGCTCCATGTGGAGGAGCGGAGACGCGAACCTGGTTCACCAGATTCTGAATCTACTGCTCTTAACCACTACACCACACTGGCTCACATTAGGCCAGAGCTGTGTGTTTGTTGTCAGCTGCATGTCTGGGAATGGCCACCCAAGACATTTTGTTGCCTGAGGCAATCAGAAAGTGGTGCTGCTCCCCTCCGCCTCCCCAAGTCACTGTGCAGAATACCTAAAACTGCTCAAGTTATTTTTGGACAGCTGAGGTGGAAAATCCCATCAGGGCCATGCAAGTAATTTACCATGCTAGTAAAAATGTAACAGCTAACCATTTACTGGCCTTTTATGATACCTAAATTCAGTTGCCTCTCTCTACCTAATGGTGCGGACACACTTTTCTGGGAAATTTCGCTGCTTTTCCACCAAAGAAACGCAATGGGAGCAGGGCAGCTTCAGGGGGGCAGGGGAACGGTTAACCCTTTCTTCACCCACACTCTATCTCACCTTTCCATTTCTGGAATGCCGAGGTTTTATTTGGGGTGAGGTGGGGAGCAGCAGTAGCAAAGATGACATTGCATCTGGTAAAATGAGCATTCTGCTGGGGGTTGTTTGACCTGCGGTCGTCTAGTCACGAGAGTTGCTCCTTGATTCTTCAGTCTCAGGTGATAACTGCACACCACCTTACTGCAAATTTTTAAGCAGCTACTGTGTGGTTTCTGAATGTCTGTTTCCACCCACAGAGAGTGAGCATTATTGGGTAGACTCCTTCCCTCAACACTACCCTGCACAACTGCGATCTTTTGCTAAGGATCTAAGCAACCCTTGGCTTGAGTGTTGTGCTAGTAAATTCCTAATCCAATCCGGAAGGCTTTAGATTGGCACAGCACGATATGGAACTAAGGAGCGTAGGCAAAATGGTCACACTGGACCCCATTGTTCCATCATTTTTCAGAGGACAACCCCTCCTACACTACTCTATTTATCCTTACCGCCATCCATCAATGGTTAACATTCTTGACCTACATAGATCACAATAATCTGACATGCAATGTCTTCTTCTTTTTCTTTAATCACAGTCCCAGACTTGTGAGAGGCTCTACTAGGAACCACTCTGGAATCTTGTGGATCTCTCAGGGCCCCCAGAAATGAATTGAGTCCCCATGGCTTAAAAAAATTGGGTCTAGTAGACCCAAATTGAGTCGCCCAATTTGAGTCGCACAAAAATTGACTAATGTTTTGCTGTATGTATTTCAACAATCTCAAAGTTTGAGAGTCAGTAGCACAAATGATGTCAGTGTGGAGTGTTGCGGTAAGTTGGCTGTTCTGCTGTGGCTAATGTATTCTCCTCCACCACCACCACTTTTTAAAAAGTGGTCAAAATCCTAGAGGAATAAAAATGAGTTCATAAGCGGATACCAAAAAATGCAAACTCATGGAGAATTCGTGGTGATGTATCGTGGAACAAACCCATTGAAGAAGATAACAGTGGTTACCCAGACTTTGTTACTGATTGTGAAGGGGCCCCATAACCGTTCAAGCTTTGGGGCCCCAAAAATGTAGGTTCACCACTGGTGTGTGTGGGAATTAGCATACATGTGCACAATGTAAACATCTAGGGAAGTCCTAAGCAAGTCCTTCCATCCCCATCATCCTACTGCTGTTGCTGCTACCTCACCCCAAGTATTCCTTCTGGGTTAAAAAGAAAGGAAAAAGAGAGAGCCCACACTTATTTTTGGTGGAGGGGGGTTCTGATTCACTGCACACCTCCTTCTAACACAATCCTTACTCCGGGCGACAGATAATGCAGCAAACCTTTTGGATACTCACTGAGGATGTCAATATGCCGTTGGGGGATGCTGTTGACGCAGCTGCGGATGGATTTCTCGTCGCAGACATCCAGCTGTTTGATCTCCAGCGTCTTGTTGAGAGCAGCCCCCGCAGCGGTTTCCAGCTTCTCCTTCTTGGCCACATTCCTCATTGTGGCAATCACTGGAACACAGGAGCTTTCGTCACTCAGTCTCAGACCATCCTCGGTTCCACTCCAACTTTGGGACTAAAGCTTTTACATTCCACCTTGCTCAAACTGCCAAACCCTCATAGCCGGGGCTATAAAGGACATTTTTTTAATTTCCAAAGTACCCAACCTAAGTTGCCAACTTTTAAACTAGCTGCAGGAGCTGTGCTCTAGTTATCTCCCGCTGGGACTACTGTAATGTGCTCTAACTTTGAAGGTGACCCAGAAACTGCAATTAATCCAGAATGCGGCAGCTAGATTGGTGACTGGGAGTGGCCGCTGGGACCACATAACACCGGTCCTGAGAGATCTGCATTGGCTCCCAGTACGTTTCTGTGCACAATTCATAGTGTTGGTGCTGGCCTTTAAAGCCCTAAATGGCCTCTGTCCTGTATACCTGAAGGAGCGTCTCCACCCCCATCGTGCAGCCCGGACACTGATGCCCAGCGCCGAGGGCCTTCTGGCGGTTCCCTCATTGCGAGGTTACAGGGAACCAGACAGAGGGCCTTCTTGGTAGTGGTGCCCGCCCTGTGGAACGCCCTCCCACCAGATGTCAAGGAAATAAGCAGCTATCTTATCTTTAAAAGACATCTGAAGGCAGCCCTGTTTAGGGAAGTTTTTAATATTTAATGCTGTATTGTTTTTAACACTCGACTGGGAGTCACCCAGAGTGGCTGGGGAAACTCAGCCAGATGGGCGGGCTATACTTAATAAATAATTATCATTATTATTATTATTATTATTATTATTATTATTATTATTATTATTATTATTTTAATCAACAGTGTGGCCTAAAGCCTTCAGCTGATGGATGATGTTTATTTCTGTGTTATGATATAGTTCACCTGCTAATTTCAGTTTATCATGCTGGTGTTAAGGGCACAATGGCAGGCTTCTCCCCATCCCCCCCCTACTTTTCCTGGTGTTCAAGTTGGCAACCCTAAACCACAGTTCCAAATTTCAATCCTGGCAGTGCAGGTTTTCAAAATGGCTGAACAGGAAAACACCAGAGGTTCGGTGTGTGTGTTTTTTAGATGTAGTTTAAGTCTGAGTTTCCAATTAAAACTGGAGCTAGAGAATAGAAGGCAGTAGACAAAATCGACAGATTTTAATTCTTTAGCAGCTGTAAGGTGATGCATCACCAGAATCAAATTTAAAAGCTACTACAATACAATCAGCAGCTAATTAAAAAGCTCGCAGCCAGACTACTAATGATCCCTGCATTTGTTTGATAACACACTCATTCTAGGAAACACTCAAAACCAGAGTTGGAAGCTCAGCACTGTGCAGTCAGAATAATAATAATAATAATAATAATAATAATAATAATAATAATAATTTATTTATACCCAACCCATCTGGCTGGGTTTCCCCAGCCACTCTGGGCAGCTCCCAACAGAATATTTAAAACACGATAAAACATCAAACATTAAAAACTTCCCTAAACAGGATGTTAAGAGATGGTCCTGTCTCAAGGGTACAGGGCATGTTACTAGCTTCAGGTAACTATTTCTTATATCCATGGCAAGTTCATTGGATCAACATGCTGCCAACTATGGGTATAAACAATTAAACAGAATTATGCATTTAATTTGGAATTTACCTTTTCGCTCCATTTTAAATTGTCGTTTTGGTGTTGCATTATTTGCTTTCAAATTGCGTAATTGTTTTGTTCTTGCCCGCCCTGGGACGTCATGGTGAAGGGAGGGTAAGAAGTTGAAGATAAGATAGGTGCCCTGAATACCCTCATCCAGGCTAGCAAAGAGCTCTCTACACCACCACCATCCATGCTAAATACTGGAGACTTAGAAGTGATTCCAACAGGAAAGAATTGGAAAAGCAAACAACCTGATCATGTCATTATGTGTAGCTGCATCAGATTAAAAGGAAGCTAGGCAGAGAGGAAAAAATACAATTTAATTATCTATACTGTACACATTTTTTTTAAAAAAATGTTGTTTCACAAAACACTGTTTAAAGAAGCTCACCTTTGAACCTCCTCTGCTTGTCCTGTGCTAGTTTCACAGCCAATGCCAGCCCAATCCCAGATGAGCATCCTGTTATCAATACAACTTTGGGAGCCATGGTGGCTTGTGCTAAGGAGGCAGATGTAGCCTCCAGAGACCAGGCAGTGGCTTCTCTGACTCCTATAGAGAAGGCTGTGGGCTTCTGGCAGCACTGTGATTCGCCCTCACATCTTCCCCAGTGGGTCCCTCTTCAAGGATCTTAAAAAAGGCCAGCTAATTGGCCAACTCCCAAGCCCTTAATCTCCTGGCCATTGCTAAATCCCAAATGGATTTGCATGGCAAATCCTGCCTAATCACTTCCAGGCCTGACCACTCGTGATGCACAAACAAAACCACGAGACTTGGCACACAGTATGCGAACAGGGAAATGACATTACCCAGAGTGCCTTGCGAGAAGCATCACCCAGCATGCTTTGCTTTTAGGATCCCCATACCGAAATTCCAAGTGTAACCAATGCCATGGTGCTGGGCTGGAGGAAATCAACAGTGACACTCCTTTCTGACGCAGTCTTTTTTTTTTTTTTTAATGTGATGGTATCTGGGTGGTTCAGTATCTAGAGAGGCCCAAAGAGTAGCGCTGAGAGGTGAAACTCATATATCAGTAACGAAAACGGAGGAAGCCCGGCGTTGGCTTCACGCTCATTCCTGCCACAAGGGCTGTTAAGGATAGGGAAACAAAAAGTTATCAAACATAAACTTTTATTTATGAGTAAGAAGTTTTGTGTGTCTTAGATAAATAAAGAGATAAAATAATCTGTTGATTCTTTACAGGGTGATCTTTGCTATTCATTTAATTGGCTGTTCTTAGCTTGTTCTTTTCTCACAACTGATCTTGTGTACAAAATCAAAGCAAATGTATGAAAAAAAAATACAATTTATTATCATCACTTATATATATATACACAACTCATCACAGTAGATACTGGCCTTATAGATTTGCACGACATTAGTGGCAGAGCCTTCCTGCTTCTCCTCCTCCCCATCCCAGGGTGTTTTTAAAAAACCCTTTATTGTAAGGGGAGAAAACCAATTATTCCTACCTCGATTCCTTGCCTGTGATGCTTAGATGCAATAGCACAAGCCAACTCACGACAAAACCCAGCAGCTTGAGAGGATGAGAGCCGGGGATTACAGCACAGTGGTATTGGCCATATTGCACCAAATATCCAATAAGAATGCTGGTGGGGTGTGTGTGTGTCTGTGTGGCGAGATCTTTGGGTTTAAATGTATTCAGAATTGGGTGTCCGGAGAGAGTGCTGAAAGGAATATCCCTGTGTGTTCGAGTGGGGGGAGCAGCTAGGACTAGAACCAAGCAACTTCAAATCTGTGTTCCTCTGCTTTTCTGTGCGGAAAGACACTTGGGACTGCAGACTGAAGAGATCCCTGGGAAAGGATAGCCTCCAGGGCGATGCCAATAACCCACCCACCCATCCTGTGTGCCTCTTCTAATCTGGTAGAGCTATAAAAAGTTCCAGTGCAGGCTTGGTTTTTGCCTGGACAACAGCTGGAGGGGGGGGGGACAGCTCAGTTGGCAGCACATAAAACTCTAATCTCAGGGTCTTTTTCCTTTTCATCTTCAGCTACTGTCGCTGGATTCCCTCCTGACTCTCCACCAGCCTTCTGCCCATGGGCCCCGCATCCCAAGAGGAGACTGCCGCTTTAAATAAGCTGCGATGCCAAGCACCAGAGAAAAAGAAGAGAAAATTTTCCTAACAAAGGTGTGGGAGCTCCCAGAAAATCTAGTGCTGGAGGCAGGCAAACCTCTGTCGCTGTTGTTAAAAGAGAGCTGGAAGTTAGCGTGCAAGAGGCATCGCTTCCCGTGGCGTGTGCATCCAATATTTCTTTTGTCCCCTGCTGTTGCCTCCGGTCAAACAGGTTTTCGAAGCGATGCAAAACCCACAACAAACCTGAAAGGCAACTCCCAGAAAAGGAGAACACATTAGGAGGCAGGAGAACTGAAGTAGCAGCTAAATCTCTTGCGTGCGGTACCAAAACAAGCCCTGGATCAGAGATGTACACAAAGCCCCGTAGTGGAGCGGGACACTCAGCTGTCAGGCGGACACCAGTTCCCTTTCATGGCAGAAGCCGCCCACCAACAGAGCCGTGTTCTCTTAAGAAGTGAAGTGCAATTGCTGCGACCTCGAATCCATCCTTGAGTCTGCTCAAAATCCGGAGGCTTTCGATGACGGTGTGGTGGTGGAATGGGAAGGTTCGAATCGGGTCGCTTGCAGCAGCTGAAGTTTATTAAGGAGCAATTCAAAGTTCGGAGTCGATCCCGGTGTACAGAGTTCAAAAAAAGACCTGCTCCCCAGACCCCCTCTCCCTGTCACCGGCTGTGGCCAATCTGTGGGGCACAGGGAAAGGCCGCTTGGGAAGACAGCCTATCATAAGGTGACGCTTGTGCAGTAGTGCTTCAGCTTGCAAGGCAAGATGCCGCGGTTGATCTGGTGGAATTCCACCAGCTGGATCAAGTCAGCAAAGCGAGTCTGGCCGTCGTCCATGGTGTAGTAGAGGTGTCCGTCTTCCTCGCTCTGAAACCCATAAAAGACAGTGAGCCGCCGGCAAGAGGGGAAGGCGCAGAAGAGTGTGGTGGCAGGGTTTGTCAACCTGGTCCCTACCGCCCAGTAGTGGGCTTTTCAGGATTCTAGGTGGGCGGTAGGGGGTTCTATGGAACAAGCTGAATCCTCCTTCCACTGAGCACTGGTGGGCAGTAAGGAAATTTTACCATCAAGAAAGATGCATTAATGAGCGGTAGGTATAAAAAGGTTGACTACCCCTGGAGTAAAGCAAGCCTGCAGTGGAGTCCGGGCTCAGTTTTCGGAAGCACACAAAGTAGTAGTAACTGTGCTGCAAGCCAGGGCCATGTTCCACCCCCCACCCCACCCCCCGCGCTCTCCACAACTAGTATTAGGGTCCAGGCTGGCTTGGAAAACAAAAGTGCTGGAAAAGGTGCAGGTCTCCAAAGGATTCCTGACTGGGTGACTGTTCAGTTCTCCCACTGCTGGCAGGAAGGGGTACTGCCGAGATGTCTTTCCTGCCTTATACTATGCTGAACAAAATAAAAAAATTCCTTTCAGTAGCACCTTAGAAACCAACTAAGCTTTTGTGTGCATGCAGAAGTGTTTTGTTTCGACTACGGCAGACCAACACGGCTACCTACCTGCAATTTATACCAGGCTGGTTTGCTTAATTATGTTCATTCTTTTGAAGCCTGTCTGGTAACCACGTTCCCTCAAACTCAAGACATCTCTATCTCTTTCTCACTCTCTCTTGTGCACACTTAATTCCCCCCAGCTTCTAAGTCTGTTTCCCTGCTCATGCAAAGCCTGCATGGTGCAAGGAGCTTGTGCATATCTTAGTTTATTTCCTAAGCCAGGATTTGACTGTCCAAATGCAGCTGTTGTAAAGGCAAGCTTTGTACGTTCTTTAATGTGACCACTTACCGGAAGGATAAGATAGTGCTTCACCTTCTGCAGGTGGCAGAGGGACAAGACAAAACCTTTGGGGTTCCGCTGACTCTCCCGCAGCAGGAAGACCCTGCAATCGACAAGACAATAGGAAGGCTGTTAAAGGCACATTGCGCCTCTTCCTCCGCCCATAAGGGGAAGCAGTGCAGTATGTGAGCCGAGGCCCAACCCCGTGGTCCTCTCGCACTATCATCTTCATGGCTCCATGCTCATGACTATCACACCACTAACACTCAGTTCTGGTCCCCACCTCCTGAAAAAAAATGATTTCAGGCTTGCATGAGTCATATGGAGCTATTGCTGTCAAGATATCTCTTGCTGAGCGCATGATCTGGATTGCATGGGTTGGTTGAGGGTAGGAAGGGGTAATTATGGTGGTGGGCAAATGGCTCTCTCTCCGGGAAGCTGACCTTCAAGTCTCTAAGGCTGCAGGTATATTTGCACCTACCTGGGAGTAAACACAGTCAGTATTACTCAGTGCTTAATGTGGGGGTGAGTGGGGAGGAAGGAAGGGAGATGGTTTCATTTCAAATTAAGCCCAACTCTTTAGCCTGTGGCTCATTCGCCATTTTTATAACCATGCAAACCTCGTGGCGCTCCAAACGTTGTTGGACTACAACTCACATCATCGCCAACCATCAGCCATTCTGCCTGGGATAGATGGGAGTTCAACAGCATTTGGGAGGGTCACAGGTTCTCTACCCCTAATGTGATCTATTTGCCAGTTAAGCCTGACTTCATAGATTATAGTCCATTATAAACCATAACCAAGAAAAGAGAATTACTACATGAAGTCAAAATCATGAACGACTGTACAGTCGTACCTTGGATCCCAAACGCCTAGCAACTCGAAGGTTTTGGCTCCCAAACGCCGCACACCCGGAAGTGAGTGTTCCGGTTTGCGAATGTTCTTTGGAACCTGAACATCCAATGCGGGTTCTGTGGCTTCTGATTGGCTGCAGGAGCTTCCTGCAGCCAATCGGAAGCCGCACCTTGGTTTCCAAATGTTTTCGAAGTTGAACAGATTTCCAGAACAGATTCCGTTCAACTTCCGAGGTATGACTGCAATTCATTCAAGAACTGGAAGAGGCAGCAGGCAGGTGGGCAGTTAGAAAGACGGTTTCCTCTTCCCCTAAGGTGCAAGGTCGCATCTCCAAGGCTGGTTTGGGAAGTGGTGTGAACACAAGGTTAGCCACAACCCACAGCTATCCTGTTGTTTCCTACAAAATACTCCATATTGGTGCATTTTCACCAAAGCCACTCTTAATCCGCATTGAGAAGAAGAATGGCCAACTGCGTTTCAAGCTGGCAAAGTGCTCACAGCCTAAGCCTGGCAGAGGCTCTGCTGGGATGGGCTTCAGTTGTTTGAGAAAGAAGATTCTGTCTTTGCAACTGCCTGCCTCTCCCAGCTCTAGCCTGGGTCAAATGGCTTTTAGCAATATTGATGTAATCCTGTTCTGTACAATAACCCTGGGATGGGAAGGGTTGGCACCATAGGCGCCGACTCCATGGGGCCTGAGGGGGCTCGAGCCCCCTCAAAAAAATTTTGGGGGGGGCTCAGCCCCCCCAATAATCTCGGGCGCCCTTCCAGCAGAGCGCCGCCGCCGCCCCCCGCCTCCTCCCCACCTGCTCCCTCGCCAGCCAGCCAGCCAGCCGCGCGCCCTAGTCGGAGAGCCCCGGCCGTCCCCCGCGAGATTAGGGAATCCCCGGGGGCGGGGGCTCCTGCCTCGCTGCTTCGCAGCACCACCGCCACTGCCAAGGCACTGCCGGGGGGAATTTCCTTCCTCCTGGCCCCCGCGAGAACAGGGGAATCCCGACTGGCCACACCTCCCAGCCAGCCGATTGGCTGGCTGGGGGGCGTGGCTTGCCCTATTTAGGGCCGGAGCCACTTTATTTGCATATTCATGAGCTTATTTATTATTCATGAGCTTTCCCGGGCCCCCCCAATATTTTTTATAAGTCCGCGTCCCTGGTTGGCACTATGTGCAAGTATGCATGCATATAGGATTGTGTTGCACAAGCGTTGTGCGTTGGAGAGACGTAGCAAGCAGCCTACCCGTCCACCAGTCCCTGCTGAACGATAAGGCGCTGGGTGTCTTCTCTAGAAATGTGTCCGTGGAACCATGGCTGGGTTCTGTGGATGGCTGTGGGAGGAATGGAAAGAGCTTTCAGAAACTCAGCCTTGATCAGAGTGTTAAGAATGTATTTGTTGCAATTATAACCCCTAGTCACTGCAATGAGGGTTGCTGGGGTTCAAGATAACTGGAAAACCCATCCCTGCGTCCTAGACATGTGGGGCTGACCAGGATTATTTGGCACTGGCAGTGTTAAGTTGTGGGCGAACATATCAGACGACACAGCGATTCTTCCAAAGCAGCTCTTTATTTGTAAGCTGGAACAGAACTGAGCTGAGGAGCTTAGTCAGCCTGCTTATATAGAGCTCCAGAACAATGTAACTGTTGCCATTTTCTAAAACTATCCAATCACTGAACGTCACTTTTCGATCCTTCATTTGCATAACTATCCACAGTATCCCCCTGCTGGCCCAGGGTGAGAACTTCAGTACATAACAGGCAGATAGAGCAAGGCAGCATTTACATCCTCGGCAGCCTTGTGTACCCCTTCCTATCACTTCATATGAGCCAACATTGGGTCAAGCTCCATGGCTATGCTGTAGCTCAGATGCAACCATATAAATCTGCACATGCACAGAGACACACTCATCCAGCCTGCTCCTTCACATGTTCAACGTTTCATGCAATGGAATTTATAGATGGTGGCACAGCCAGATGCGAGCTGTAGCCTGGCTTCAGATGAGCCCCACAGAGCTTGGCCCCTTTATGGGAAATGCTAAATTAGGCATTTTTTTTTTAAAAAAAAGCCTGTCACTGAATTACAATCCTCTCTAAAGCTGTGCGCAAGAAATTCAATTAAAATTAAAATAAAGATCAGTTATAAAAATCAGAAATCAGCTAAAATGCCTGCTGGGATTTAGGGCAGAATTGTTGAATTGGAAGGGACCATGAGGGTAGTCCAACACTCTGCAATGCCAAAATCTTTGTGCCCAACGTCGAATCCACGACTCTGAGATCAAGAGTCTCGGGCTCCACAGACTGAGCTATCCTTGCCCCTCCATGAACCTCTGCTATAACCATTCACTGGCTGTTATACTACATTTTCAAATGAAGAAGAGGTTGTGTTTTACGCCAGTGATCTGCGACAAGGTGAGAGGCCCGCAGCTCAGTGTCAGAGCACGCAGAAGGTGCCAGCTTCAATCCTTGGCATTTCCAGGTAGGATTGGGAGAGATGGCCTATCTGGGGAATTGCCGCCAGTCAGTTATAGGTGATACTGTGCTGCTTGGAGCTGAAGGCAGCAGCTCCAAGTGGTTGGAGCACAAGGCAGTGCCCAGGGTCCCTCGGTACTCACCAGCACTGAACGAGGAGCTCTGGAACGGGGTAGGCAGGCTGTATCGGTGCGTCGTCTTCTTCTGAAGCGTGGTGGGAAAAACAGTGGAGGTTGCTTGAGGTATGTTAAGCTTACCATGTTAATTATCATTTCCCTGTTCCATATAGGAGTGCCCCCCCAATAGCAATACGTTTATGTTAAATTCTGAATTTGGACGGGTGGTCATGCCAGCAATCTGCTGAGGCACAAAGAACAAAGAGTACTGGTGCTGACCTTTAAAGCCCTAAACGGCCTCGGTCCAGTATACCTGAAGGAGCGTCTCCACCCCCATCATTCTGCCCGGACACTGAGGTCCAGTGCCAAGGGCCTTCTGGCAGTTCCCTCGCTTCAAGAAGCCAAGTTACAGGGAACCAGGCAGAGGGCCTTCTCGGTAGTGGCACCCGCCCTGTGGAACGCCCTCCCACCAGATGTCAAAGTGATAAACAACTACCAGACTTTTAGAAGACATCTGAAGGCAGCCCTGTTTAGGCTCTCCACATGGGTGGAGCTCAAACTGTGGAGTTTAAGAGACAGCCCCATGTAATACCTGCTTCAATAAAGATGCCCAGCGTAGTGATCCCTGTTCCCCAACTGACCACCAGGCTTCTTGTGATCTCTATGTAGGAACTAAACAGCAGACTCACCCTCCACGCCTGAGCCTCCTCCAACGCGACCGACAGGACCTCGTTGGGATTCTCAATCACCCGGCCCGTACAACCCGAGAAGTCCATGGCCACCAAGGTGTTATCCGACACGCTCCGCTATGGGATTGTTTTTTAGAAAGGGTTCAGCAACAGAGCTCTACAATATGGCAGCATGCAAATTGCAATTCAGTTTCTAAAATGATGTGCTTAATCAAGTCTTGATGAATATCTCCGGGCCAGGTAATGACAGAATCAAAAACACATATACAAGAGCCAGTGAAAAGCAAATTAATAATACCTGAAATAGAAGAACATAACCTGCCAATTAAAATAAATAAACCCTTCTATTTCCAGTGGGGGAGGGGGAAAGCTTGCAATCCTGGGGAGTCTCCAATGGGAGAGTATTCCAGATTTAGTGCCTTCTTTTGCTGTCATGTCTTGGTGCAGAGTGGTTATTACTGACAGCTCGTAGTTGAATTTAAGGATCATAGAGTATCACAAAGCAGACAGGGATCCTCTGGGGCTGAACACTGGCGTTGCCCTCAGTTGGCACACCAAATTAGCTCCTGACAGGAGATGTTCTTATGTGGCCTTAAAGGCCCAAGGCAAATGCTCAAGTGTATAAAAATGCATCCATCAAGGAAAGTGTAGGAAAAAACCCACATATTAGTGAAAGCAACATACAAAAATGTTTTGTATTGGGGAAAACTGTAAGGAAAAACGCATATCTTAAGCAAAACTGCACATCTTAAGCAAAAATGTGGCCATTCGGAGAATGTGCAGTGTACCAATTTGTGTACCAATTTCCAAGTGGATGTGGAATGAAACTTAGGACTGGAAAAATCAGAAACGGAAATTGACAGGGAGGTGTGTCCATCCTTACTCTACAGACATTATGTTTGCCTTTATCCACTGATAATGAAAATCTCTGAAACACCGTCATAGCAGGGAGCTTACCAGGGGTACAGGCCCGATCCACGCTGTTTCTCTTTGCCGTGCTTGACACTGCTGGTAGTTTCTGTAGAGCTGTATGCCATACTGCGGAAAGGAGAATAGCTACTGGTATCTGTGAGGTAGGCAATTCTGACAGCATCAGCCCAGCACGATCAATATTCTAGGCAGTGACCATGACATTTGCTAATTGCTAGATCTGGGTGCAAACTACATACTGGGAATTATTTGAGGGATTCTTTCTCCCATGAGGCAACAATCTATCGCTGCAGGTCACCCCATGCAGCACCATGATTTTCAAACTTTCTGCAGACAAACCTCGGTTGTCAAACTTAATCTGTTCTGGAAGCCCATTTGGCTTCCAAAAAGTTCGACGACCAAGGTGCAGCTTCCGGTTGGCTGCAGGAGCTTCCTGCACTCAAGCGGAAGCCGCGTTGGGCATTCGGCTTCCGAAAAACATTCGAAAACCAGAACACTTACTTCCGGGTTTTCAGTGTTCGGGAGCCGAAACGTATGGTAACGGAGGCGTTTGGGAGCTGATATTTTACTGTACCACAGGGAACTCTTTCCACACCAACACGTTTAGGAGGAGTCCGAGACATCACCCCCAGAACCCCTGAATGTTGCAAGGGAATCTGGGGCATATTCTAGGGCGCACACTAAATTCATGTGGAGCACAAACTGGGGTCTTTCAGATCTCCCTGTTGCTCTGTGCAAACTGAAACCAACTAGGACCCCTCTGTGGCTGCAAACTGCAAATGAACTCTGGTCAAAAACTTGTTCCCCTCCTCCACACCAGGAAACCTTGTATTCACGTTCTCTGAAGTCCACACATCCTCAGAAATTGTCAGAATATGCAGTTTGAAGACTACAGATGTAGTGAACTGGGTCTGAACATTGGTATGTCCAAAGTTCAAATCCCAATCCAGAGTCAAACTTGATGTGACATTAAATGGGTCTTTGTATTTAACAAGTACAGGCTTTTTTTGGTTTTTTAAAGTGCAAATAGTAACTTTGCAGTGGGCTGGCTAATTAGTATTTGTAGCAAGATAAAAAAAACAGTAAAGGACCCCTGGACAGTTAAGTCCAGTCAAAGGCGACTATGGGGTTGCGGCACTCATCTCCCTTTCAAGGGTAAGGGAGCTGGCGTTTGTCCACAGACAGCTTTCCGGGTCATGTGGCCAGCATGACTAAACCGCTTCTGGTGCAATGGGTCACTGTGATGGAAACCAGTGTGCACAGAAACGCCATTTACCTTCCCATCACAGTGGTACCTATTTATCTACGTGCACTGGTGTGCTTTCGAACTGGAGCTGGGACAGAGCAATAGGAGCTCACCCCGTCGTGGGGATTCGAACCGTCGACCGTCCGATCGGCAAGCCGAAGAGGCTCAGTGGTTTAGACCACTGTGCCACCCGCACCCCTGTATTTGTAACAGACAAGGAGCAAGGAGCATAACTATTCCTTCTTATTCTGCAATCCTGATGAAAACTATTCCTTTAAAGTGGCTCTTTGCATTAAGGAGGAATCTTCTATGGACGTCATATTTTAGAAGAGTTCCCTGTACCTTAAAGAGGCGGAAGGCAGCCATCCAGCAGGTGCGACTTTGCTCGTCTTCGCTGCAGAAGAGCTTCAGGCCTTTGGCCCCACTTCGCGCCTTGCATGGCTGCAGAGGTAAGAGCAATAATCGTGCACATGAAATGATGGTCAAAGAGTGCCCCACCCAACCATTTGTTGAAAGGTGTCAGAACTCACTTGCTCTAGGGGTGAGCCCTGACCCACAGAACCCACTCCCCATCTGGATCAACCAAATCGAGAGATTAAATAATTAAATTCTCCAAAAGTATGCATCCACCGAGTCTGCATTTCTGCATAGTTCGCTATTCTGATTTACTGTTCCGGCTTTCCTTTATTCTAATCAGCCTCCATTGGGGCTCTGTCTGCCCCTTCTCTGCTCTGGGATTGGCTGGAAAAGCAATCAATCCCAACACAGGGGCACAGCAAGATAACCCACCCTCGGGGGATGGTACCTGCCACATCTCTGCATGAGTTAGTGCTCTGGATTTTCCTCTTTCCAATTTCGAGGCATGCCCAGAAAAGTGATTCATGCAGAAACAGGAGGGAGGGATCCTGGGATGGTGGGTATAGACAGAGAGATAGAGATATATGTAGACACACTGAAAGTAAGCTTTGTCAGGTGTAAGAGTGACATGTGTCTCCAATATTGTTATTTTCTAAATAAGTGTGTCTCAGTTATCACACTTGTGTGAAACACTGGTGTATAGTCAAGATTAAAACTTTTGGGTGTAGGGTAGGCAGAATTTGACTGTACTGATTAAAAATCAGAATGTGTGTGTATCTTAATAATCTTGAAAGGCTGTGGTAAGGTTTGATTCTGGATTCTGTCCAAGACATCCCATTGCTTGCTCTAACCAGGGATGTATTTTAAGCGCACTATATTATTGTATTACCACCCGGCACTTCTCTTTGTGCCTATTAAATGAGTGCTTCTCACCCTTCTTACCTTGATGCAAAAGCCATATTCTGTGGGGGTGCTGTACTGCTTTTTGCCTTGGGTGATGTAGTAGATATTGGATTCGTTTATGTCGACACAATACTGTAGATGTCGAGGGTCCTGGCATGAGGAAGATCAAAAACAGATACAGTCATACCTCAGGTTACAGACATTTCAAGTTGCACGTTTTCCGGTTGCGCACCGCACCGAACCTGGAATTACCGGAACAGGTTACTTCCAGGTTTGGGCGCTCACGCATGCACAGAAGCACTAAATCACGCTTTGCGCAGAAGCACCGAATCACAACCCGCATGTATGCAGACGTGGCGCTGCAGGTTGCGAACGTGCCTCCCGCACGGATCACATTCACAACCTGAGCGTCCACTGTAAAGCCCGGCTTCGGCTGGGGAGGGCGGGATATAAATAAAATTTATTATTATTATTATTATTATTATTATTAAGTGTGAAGCTATGCTCCACAGCATGAGGGTCTACCCAACCCCTGACTTCTCAGTTGCCTGCTGAGGTAGGTACCAGGTGTGATCTGTATATGTGTGGTCACATTAGCCTAAAAGAAGAATTTAGCATCCGGATTACACTAGGACAGAGGTTTTCAACCTTTTTGAGCCCATGGCTCCCTTAACCAACTACATTCTTTCTGTGGCACCCCTGTGGGGCTCAGGAGCCCAGCTATGTCACCCCTTGCCTGCACAGCTGGCAGCTTCTTGCCCTTTTTCGAACACCCTCCCTTGTGGAGGGTTCCCTCAGCCTCCTCTCCTCTCCTTGGGAATTCTCTGGGCAGCAGCTGCTGCTGCTGCCATCCCTGGTCTCTGAGATACCCCCACCCCAAAGCTCGCCTGCAGAGCTTATAGCCAGGGCTGCTGGAATAAACAGCTGTGCAAGCCTTTGGGATGCAAAGACGCGAGAGGGTATTAGAGGAGGGAGGGAAGGAAAGAAAGAGGGACAGAGACCAGTGTTGCCCACAGCACCCCTGCCCATCATTGAAGGCAGACTACGGTGCCACAGCACACTGGTTGAAAACCACTGTGCTAGGCCAAGCACAGAATTGAGCATTGTTCAGGGATAGGAGACCCGATACCCTCCAGATATTGTAGGATTCTAACTCCCATGAGCACCAACCAGCATAATCAGGGATAATAGAAACTCTAGCCCAGCCACATCTGGAGGGACTCCCCCTCTTTCCCAGGACCATTATTCCTCCATGAATGTGGGAAGTGGATATTTGGCAAATTTCTGGGGGTTAAAGAATTTTCTTCTTGGCTTAAATGCAAAGTAGCAGAAGGCTTTTCTTCTCTCTCTGTCTTTTTTTTAACAAAGCCATCATTGACTGAGAGGGCAGTTATCTTTTATCTAAGAGCATCCTTAGGAACAATGGTAGGTCAAGATGTAGCACCACTCCCCTGGCATTCTTTCCTGGGTGGGAAGGTTTTCCCCAGGGTGTGGAAGGCTTTTTGAAAAAGAAAAATCTCTCAGCCAACTGATGCCTAAGACTAAAATTCTTGAACTTTGCCAGGCCTCCAAAGATGAATCCAATCTTCAGGGGATATTGTCACCCCCACCACACACCCTTTGACATTTGCAAAAATCACTTGGCCAAATACTTCACCCCAGCACTAACTAATATAAATTTGTTGTGAATAAGAAAGAAGTCAGTAATTCAGAACTCATCGCAGCCTTAAATTCAATAGGTGACCATAGACAAGCCACTATCTCTCAGCCTGTGCCTTCCCCCGATGTGTAACATAGGGAAAATAACACAAGCCTGCCTTACAAAGGTGTTGCAAGGATTATTGATCTAAGGTGGGTGAAGGGCTGGGGAAATCATTACTGAGTATTCTACTCAGGTTCAATAATTCCTCTTTCTGTGGTGCATAACTTAGATTCATTTAATTGCAGATACCAAGAAAAATGGAAGGGCATGGATTTTGCTTCTGGTAGTTTGCAGTTTGTATGGCACTTTCAGCTTTTGGCGAAACACATCCTAAGCCACTGGTCTTGGCATCAAGCTTCACGTAGCCGTTCCGACTGCAATAAGGTACCTGCTGAAATCTGCATTATTCAATTAAATCGCCCGGTGGTTCAGGCGTTCCTGCCTCCTTGACGGCTGCTGTTCTTTCCGATAGAGCGCAGCAATATCACCCTGACAGGCTGCAAACAGGACTGGATGACTGAACTAAGACACCAACCCTTCCACCCACACAATGCACACCGCTTACCTTTGATGTGCCTTTGGTTGAGTAATAGAGCCCAGAGCGCCGTAGGGAGAAGTAAAACCTTTTCCATACTTTGCGTCCAACTTCTTTCAGGTGCATGAAACCTTGGATTTCGGGGCAGCTTCCTGAATTCAGCACATTCTGAAAGAGGCAGTCAGTTTAAAAAAAAAGGAAGGCAAGGGTAGACAAGTGGTATCGCCAATGCTGCTGGCAGTCTATGTTGGCAGCAGTAACTAGCCCTTCAGTTTAGGGCGCAGCTGTGTGGGAGACACTCAGGAGTGCAGGAGTGCAGCCCTGGGGATACAGGAGACCCCAGCAACATCTTCTGGCTGCCTAGTGCATGGGTAGACAAACTAAGGCCCGGGGGCCAGATCCGGCCCAATCTCCTTCTCAATCCGGCTCACGGACGGTCTGGGAATCAGCGTGTTTTTACATGAGTAGAATGTGTCCTTTTATTTAAAATGCATCTCTGGGTTATTTGTGAGGCCTGCTTGATGTTTTTACATGAGTAGAATGTGTGTTTTTATTTAAAATGCATCTCTGGGTTATCTGTGGGGCATAGGAATTCGTTCATTTTCCCCTCCAAAATATAGTCCGGCCCCCCACAAGGTCAAAGGGACAGTGCACTGGCCCCCTGCTGAAAAAGTTTGCTGACCCCTGGCCTAGTGTTTCCCAGTGGAATTGCGCTAGGCATAAGAGCATGGCCACCCAAGAATAGTGCCTTATCCTTCTGGAAATAAATGAAGACCTGGGAATGGGAGCAGGTCTGAATGGGTAGAGGAAAGGAAGCAGGTGGGTTTTGTACCTGTATAAGTTCTGAATGGGACATGCCCTTGTTGGCTGCATCCAGGCAGCTGGAAACCATGGCTTCGGGGAACAGCGACTGCTGCAATGGAGAAGAAAAGAAAGGGGTGAGCCTTCCAAAACTGCACAGAGACAATTCGGATACTTGGCTGTCATGTATTGGTGTTTCTAATGCCAAAAGAGGGGAAATGCTTTCAACGCTTTTTTTTTTTTAAGGTAAAAATAAGGACAAGTTTATTATCCTCATAATTGCAGAGAGAGAGAGAAACTGCCAAGATGTGCTCCATTTTTGCTTCAAGTTGTTTCTCTCCCTCTGTTTAAAATTTTCTTGTGCCCATTCTATAATGCTGATAACCCTATAACACCCAATATTACACAGATAAAGATTCAATATCAAAATAACGTGCTCCCTAGCCTAGATCCTAAAGGGAGGGGAAGTAGAAAGTAAAAAGTTGCTGTCCTCTCCCTCCTCCCTCCCTATAAAGTCATATAATTTCTAATGGTTATTGATACACTTATGGTCACCAATCTAAGCAATACACATCACTATACATCATTTCGTGGCTGCATTTCATTTTGGGATACACACTTTGACACAACGTAGTTAATATATTCAGAAATGTTTATCTGAGTGTTTATAGTTGTTCTATTTTTATTTTTACTTAATTGTTGATGTCGTGTGCTCTAATGTAAACAAAGATATATCTTGACGCAACCATGTTAAACTGTTGAAAAGATGAAAACGGAAATCTTTGTTACAAAAAATAATAATAAAGTGGGGAAGTTGAGGCACATGTCCCTGTGCTTCTTCAGCAGTGTAGGAAGGTCTGAATAGGGTTTCTGAGTTTGTTTGGCCGAACGTACTTAGAAAGCTTCCTACAATCAGAAACCCTGCTTTATCGGGATTCCCAGTTATGGGGTGACTTCTGCGCAAGTTCAGCTGAGCACATGAGGAGGCCCCCTTCAAACCTTTGAACTCAGCACCCAGAGGTTGAAAGCAGCCTGGTGCTTCTTCCCAGCTCTGATCAGTCCCAGCCAGCATTGCCAGAGGTCAGGGGTGATGGCACTTGCTGAGGGCTTTTAATGTCTGACCAGGGATCGTGGTGATAATGATGATGATAGTACCCCACCCATTTGACTGGGTTGCCCCAGCCACTCCGGGCGGCTTCCGGCGTATATAGAAACATTATTTTTGTAGTGGTGATGCAGAACATCCCAAAATATAAAATGTCATGTACTTTTTACATTATCAGTTGGTATAATAAGATATGTTTCATATTTGAAAACTAAAATAAAAAAAAAGTTTCTGTTGTACTTACAGCCAGAGATATAAATTCAAGTAATGCAGAAATGTGTTTTTTGGGGAGGGGGTCTATTGGGTTGTTGTTTTTACTTTTATGATGCATTTTGTGGGTTTTATATCTTGATTTTATTCTGTGAACCCCCAGGTTTAGGGCGGTATATAAAATCAATAAATAATAATAAGGTAGTAAAACCTAGAGGTTTTGCAGAAACTGAGTTTAGGGTTCTAAAGTGAAACACAAAATGTTTACTAATCAAAACTGGCAGGTGCTACAATTTTATTTCATACAAGCTAACAGATGTGGAATTAGGGTGGTTTTTTTTTTTTTTTTTAAAGCAAAGGATCAGGAAGCTTCCATTTAATGCTGGAAGGAAAGAATGGTCTCCCCTCCTGGCTTTATGGTCCATTCCACTTACTGGCGAGCTCTTGAACAGCTCGTATTTGGCGTAGTTCTTCCGGAAGACAAACCTGCTGTCACCCCCAACAGGCCACGTGGCCTGAACCTCCACCACCGACTCATGATCTTCCAGGCATCGCTCTGGCAAAATAAGAGCAGAGAGAGATTAAAACAAAAAAATGCAATTTGGGTTTAAGAACCTCTTTAGCAGCTCATTTCTATTCCATGTTCAACAAATATGGAGAACAGCTCTGGTGAAGGGTATGAAGCATGCTAGTTAATATAACATTCCTTGCACACAGAAAAAGAGTGTCCGTTCCACCCTGTATTCATCATGAGCAGTTTGTTTCTGTTCTGCTGCAGTTCACCTTCTGATAATAATTTATTATTTATATCCCGCCCATCTGGCTGGGTTTCCCCAGCCACTCTGGGCAGCTTCTAACAGAATATTAAAATACAATAGTCTATTAAACATTAAAAGCTTCCCTAAACAGGGCTGCCTTCAGATGTCTTCTAAAAGTCTGGTAGTTGTTTATCTCTTTAACATCTGGTGGGAGGGCGTTCCACAGGGCGGGTGCCACTACCGAGAAGGCCCTCTGCCTGGTTTCCTGTAACTTGGCTTCTTGGAGCGAGGGAACCGCCAGAAGGCCCTCGGAACTGGACCTCAGTGTCTGGGCAGAACGATGGGGGTGGAGATGCTCCTTCAGGTATACTGGACCTAGGCCGTTAAAAAAAACTTCATTGCCTTTTCTCACTGACCACTGTGGTGAAATGTCTCACAATTATTTATGTTATTATTATGCTATTGCAAAGGAAACACAATGCAAACCAGAAAGGGGAATACCATCAATCACATACTATTATGCATAGTTTCTGGACTGAAAACAACAACCACTAATACTGACAGCATTCCTTGGATTAATTTCTGTTCTGGGCTTGGGACGAATAAACAAACATGGGCAATTTCTGTTCCCATTGCCGCTGATTCTTCCACATCCCTGATCCTAACTCTGTCACGATGCCCTCTAATAATAAACGTGTGTGAGAGAGCACATGTTTATGCACACAAACATAGGCAGCCTGGCCCTCCGAATCCTGGCTTTAAGGAGACCCCTCCGTTCCTTACCTAGGGCCAAATGCTGATAGACCTCCACTAGGGACCAGCACTCATCATGCAAAGCGTGAGTCTTCTGGACGAGCATCTCACAGACATGACGAGCCGTGGTCCCTGCTGTGACCTCCAGCGAGCGGCAAGTGCCATCTTCACTGTAGACCTTCACTACCTGTGGGGTGGGGAAGAAGAAGAGGAGTTTGGATTTGATATCCGCTTTATCACTACCCTAAGGAGCCTCAAAGTGGCTAACATTCTCCTTTCCCTTCCTCCCCCACAACAAACACTTTGTGAGGTGAGTGAGGCTGAGAGACTTCAGAGAAGTGTGACTAACCTAAGGTCACCCAGCAGCTACATGTGGAGGAGTGGAGATGTGAACCCGGTTCACCAGATTACAAGACTACCGCTCTTAACCACTACACCACACTGGGAGAAATCGAGCAGAGGTTAAGAGGGGAGGGAGAGAAGCACAAATGCTGAAGGATGGTTCAGACCTATGAGCATATCCCCTGGGGATGGCCAGTGGCTTAGATGGCTTAGGAGAAGTCTAGCAGGGGCCATTATCCTTGATAGACAAATAGCCTTGCTTTCATGTCCTGCTTGTGCACGTCCTGGGCACCTCACGTCCTGGCTGCTGCTGGAAGCAGGATGCTGGCCTAGATGGACCCTTGGTCTGATCCAGGAAGTTGCTTAACAACTATTAAAAGATAAATTATTTTAATAGTTGTTAAGCACACCCTTAGTGGATGGATTTTCACAGACGGCAAGGGTACATGCAATATCTCTGTTCTCAGTTCCTAGCGTCCTTTCTATAAGTCAGTTACATTCAGTATGAGACACTGCTGTCAGAGACATTGTGAGGTTTGTGGGGGGTGGGGAAGGAGTGAATTGGTGAGAGCTCTCAAAAGAATTTTGTGCTCACAAATATTTGCCACAGAACCCTTGCATGCTGCAGAGCAGGAGTGGGGAACCGGGGACTCCCAAAGCATCTGCTTTTCGCTACTGTTGGAAACAGGATACTGACCTCCTTTGACTGCAATGATCTTACTTTCTTAGTCAGCTGGAGATTATCTCTCCTTAACCCAACTATTCCACAAGAGGGAGCAAACCAATTGCTCAAGTAAGACAACTGAGTCAATCATATTGTTGTGAGTTTGGATCCAGCGTGTGTTAAAAGTAAACCAAGGCTTCCCATTCTTGGAATAGCCAAGTCAGTCCCCTAGTCAGGTGATAGCCTGGGTGATGGGCCATTAAGGAGAACACAGGAAGGGGCTGTGTGGGAGATGGCAAATGGGCAGGGGGCGCCTCCTTCAACTCCAGGCAGTTAGAAGGAAAAAGCCAGCATTGAGAGCAGAGAGTTGCAGTGTTGAGAGACAGAAGCAAAGCAGCAAGCTGGAAAGCAAGAGAGAAAGAACAAGGCTCAATTTCAGTCTGAATCCAAGCCTGCGGCTATGGGAGAAACAATACCCTTTTGGGGTGTTAATGCCGTGAGCCCCTCCATGGTAGGCTCTGGTTGTATATGAGTGTGTAAATAAACCATATATCCTAAAGACACCACAGTCTCTGCTGTGCCTCATTCCGAAGGAAGCACAAACCCCGGGGAAGCGCCTGAAACCCCCACTCAGAGATTGGCAAGATCACAGGGCTCTGTGCTACATTTATTAAATGAGAGTTATCGGAGCTGTGCCACATCCTGTCTATTGAAATACAGTCCAACTCTCCAGGCATGATTATCTAATAGTGAGGGGGAAATGCACTCTGCACATCTTAAATACATTTTCTCCATTACTATTGCTTCATAAATACCTGGTATTCAAAATGAGCCTCCTCTTCTATTATTAGGCAACAATTGATTCCCCAGACCTTCTGGGGCAGAGGAGTTGCATGGCCAGACATCTCTCTGAATCACAGGAGGGTTTGCTGTTTGTTTTAGAGTGGGCACAGACTGTACTTATTGCATTTCTTGGCCGTTTCACATTTGACTCACTGTTTATGATGTCTTTCCTCTATACCTGTGTGTGTACAGACACAGACACACCTGCCGACGCAGGGCAACCCTACAGGCACCTGATGAAGCTGACTCCATTCCACCACAATCAACCTGTTAAGCTTTTAAGATGTCCCAAACCTTCTGTTCTAGTTGTTGCAGAATTCACCTCTTCCTTTTCCTAAGCTCATTTCATAGGGAAGGTAGCAAATAATGGAATAGCCAACTTTGTTTTTAAATGAAATCTGGTGCTTTTGCTGGCTCCTAATGAAAGGCCTAGGACTACATGAATATTCATTTAGGTCTATATTCTGTTCAGAGGTATAGAAACTGGGTCCTCTTTTTGCCTCCATCTAATTCAGGAGTGCAGAACCTCAGTGTCCGAATACACCCTGGGGGGCCCCACTGCCCTGGTATGAGACAATCCTCTCTGGGGGGTCCTCCGGTGTTGCGCTCCCCCAGAATGGACATCAATCTTCATTCCGGTGTGCTCAGCGACACAGGTCGGATGACCTGTGCATGCTATTAATCAGCAGAGTTAGCAGTGACAACTGGAAGCGTGAATGTGAGCATCCTAAGGATTTATTAAGCAATATTTACAGGACAAATCATAATGGCGTCTGCTCTCTTTTTCAGCAGCAGACAGAGAGAGAAAGAAACAGTGCAACAGCACAACATAACGGAAGAGATAAGACGTAACTTTCGTCTTCAGACTTTCCCAGCTCAGGAAAGTAAACAGTGACATGTGACTACCCAGCCACATATCAGCAACGGGAGGAGTGAATTGCTAACACTCAGGCCTGCCAAAATGGGAGATTCCGGGATGCAATCAGAGGCAGGAATGGCTTCTGCAATTCCAGGATGTTGTGGCGGGACGATTGAGGGATATGGGCTTAGGGACCAAAAGCAGCCCCCTAAGCCTCTTTATCTCACTCTTGGGGCTCTCGCAAGGCCACATTCCCTAAGCCTTTGAGCTGAAAAAGGTCCCCTGCCCCTGACCTAAGCCAGAGCAGAAGGGTTTACAAGTCACCACTTGGCTCTTTTCTCCCTTGTTTCAACCAGCCTCCCCGGGCCATGAAAAGGACTTTATTTTTTCCAATCAATACAGGTCCTCTTCCCACCTATCGGGGCTGATGCATTGCTGTGACAATAGCTGCAGCCATCCTGATATTTTGGGGAGTGGGAGAGGCTACTGGAGGAGAGTGCGTGTGCTACCTTCATGCCCCCACCTCCCCAATAGACAAATAACATTTGTGAGTGCCTGACTTAAAGGTTCAGCCAACATGTGTAAGCATCACCCACGCAGCAGGACCTTGCTCATGACACAGTGGCTAGCGCAAGAGGGATTTGTGGCCGGGTTGAAGTCGCTATGCCGGCATGCTAACAATGCGAGTGCGTGGGCCAAGGGCTCCATTTAAGGAAGGACTCCGCAACCCAGACACTTCTAATAGGACCTATCATCTGTTAGGGCAGCACGTCCCCGAGGGTCAGTTGCTTTCTTTCCAGAAAAAGGAGATAACCCAAGGCCAGACTGACCTGGCTGCTACATTGGAATGGAAACTTGCAACTGAAAGCCATCAATCATGTGCAGGAGGAACATGGGAAAGGAGGAGCTAAGCTGGATTTTGGATGAATTTACCATCTATGCTGGCCCAAGCTATGCTGCTTCAATGTTCTGGAGGGATTTCCACAGGCTGAGATGAGACAAGAGTGACTGTGTTTGAAATGTACTATGTATTTTGGAAAGTTGCTTGTTCACTATGCATCTGGGCACCTCTTTTTTAAAAAATTACAGAGTGTTAAATCTTATGGCAGCTCTTCGTATCTTGACGCACGCCATTTTGAGATGACGGAGAGGGAAAACGGACCTGCTTGGGGAAGACTGTGGGAAAGTAATTGGTCTTTAAACACCTATGTTCTCCCGCTCCCTGACCAGCGCTCTGGCTGGAATCCCAGGGGAAGGATTAGGAGGCCCCACCACGAACAGTAGGCACCCCGTCTTCAGATGAAAGGCAAGGGAGTGTTTGTTGTCAATCTCCACTTTAACGGTAATCTCAGGCTGGGCTGCCAGTAAATCTGGAAACTGGCAAAGATTCTGAGAGCCTCCAAATAGAAGGATGGACAAGAGCTCTTCAGAGAAAAGGCTGGTAATCACTCTCTTATGGCTCCTCTGAAGATGGCAAGGTTGCGACGGTCCTTTGTGTCTTTCGTAATTCATCCAACAGGAAGTTAATAACTTTTAAAAAGTTATTAATTTGGCCCTGCCCAATTTTATCCTCACAACAACTGTGTAAAATAGGTTAGATTGAGAGAACGTGAAGGGCCCAAAGTTACCCAGTGAGCTTCCTGGCTGAGTGTGGATTTGAACCCTAGACTCGCAGGTCCTAGCCCAATGCACTAATTGCTACACCATCCTGGCTCTCTCACCCTAGTACAATGGGGTTCGGTCTGAAGAAAGTGGGTATTATCTTCTATTGATGTCTACTTTTGCTGCTGCTCTTTTAAGCCTTCTCTTGCTCTACTGAAATTTCATGGTTTTATTATTATTCTTTTGTTGTTCTTTATCATGAGCCGTTGTAAGAGCCCAAGTTTGAGCTGGAGGGCAGGATATTAAATAGCATAAATACATAAATTGATTATTTTTAAAGAAAATGCATCAAGCACAGGTAAGCTGTGAGATAACACTGAAGCAGTTTGCCCGTTTGTCTTGCTCTCTAGTCTCCTATCAGCTCCTTTGTATACTGTGCACAAAAATGAACATCCATGTTTTCCCACTGTTGGGTGAAGGTGAAAAGCACCTGTGTTGGCCTTTGATATAAACTGCAAGAGGCATCAGGTGGATTGAAAAACTTCCCAGGCAGCTGGAGACCTCCTGTCCCATAATTACAGGCTCCTAGTGGAGGCCCAGAGGCTAGCCAAACAAAACCTGAAACCTTGGCAACAGTCCCCATGGGAACCAGCCTTGCCCCATCGTGCCCGGTTAGCTCACAAGTCCTCATTTCTAACTCTTACTTTCTGGCTCTTTTTGTCCGTAGTTTGGGGGGAAGCAGCAGATCACACCAGACAAGTGTTTGATTCTCAGCTCTTAGAAGAGGCTGAAAAGTCTAATGCAAGGCCAGCTCGCACAGGACTGCTACCCAAAGCAAGAATTTATTTGGCTGCCCCTACCACAGAATCTGGTTGTGTAAAGAATGGGAAGGAAAGGTTGTGTTTCCTCCATTGCGACTCCTTTTCTCCGGAGAGGAAAAATCAGTACCCACGGCCTTGTGGGATATATTTGGGAGAAGAAAAGGCTACACAAATCTGGAGTCCCTAAGGTGGTTGGATGGTGTCTTGTATGCCTCCTCCCGGCAACTCCTACAGCCAAGCTGGTGCCAAATGTATTGCTTTCCTTCTTTGCACCACATCAACAAGGCTGAGAGGGAGGCCCTGTCATCTGGGCAGCCCAGGACCTACATACACACAGCCTAGGCTTGCAATAAATGGAAATGAAGGGAAGGGGGTGCAGTTGAGGAAATGGGGTGAGTGGGGGAGCGACAACAACAACAACTCTTATACCCTATTGAATGTTTTCCAGCACAGTGCAGGGTCAGAGTTATCATTAGGCCAACTTAGGCAGCTGCCAAGGGCACAGACCTTGGAGCAGCACAGTACTGACCTTTGAGGGGCACAGTTTTATACAGATGGTTCAAAACGATTTGTGTGTGAAAACATTTACTTTTGCGTTTGAGAAAGATAATCAAAGATTGTCGTATTGCTGATTCTTGCAATTCGAAACAACTTTGCCAGTTTCGAGTTATGTGCAATTTAAGTTAGCGATTTTGTGGGATGGAGTGCAAGTAGTTAACCTTGCCTGGCTGAGCCCTACCTAATGGATTGGAGCAGGAGACAATGGCAACGGGTTCTTCAACTCATTCAGTCACCATTCATTCTCTTCATATTTAGGTTGGGTTTTGTACTCTTTTTGTACTCAAGTCTGTGTATTGAAAGAAACCTCGTGGTGGGGAGGAGATGGGGGCACAACGTATCTCTGGGCAAACCTTGCACAGCCTCTGTAAAACCACAAACCCCTGCCCTTCATCTAAGATGTTTGCCATCTCACTGTGGAAAGGAAAACATCCTCTGCACATTCTCAGGGGCCCTCTCACTGATTTCACATGTAGCTAGCTGGTTGTGCAAGCGCCCCATCACCACCACCACCAAAAGAGAAAGCTTCTAGTACCATGCCTTAGCAAACCCTGTGCCAAAATGAAGCCCTGTTCTGATTGCCCTCCATCCCGAAACGTAAATAGGCACACTTACATGAGAGCCTCCTTCTCGCGGTGAGCCTGGTCCCAAGGAGGAGTTGCTGAGGATGGGTGAGTTGGAGGGGCTGCAGAGTTCTGGGAAAGGGTTTGGGATGGAGGGCAAAGATAAGGCACGCTGCTGCTCCTCCTCCTCCTCTTTCAGCTTTCTAAAGGAAAAAGAAGCATATCAGAAGGATTATCATGCAGGCCTGAAGTGCCGTATCCTCATAAAGGGGAAAGAGTGAGATTTCTGGGTTAGTGAGTAAAGCCTATTTGTCCATGAGAAAGCCTGAAACCCTTATGTGCTTTAGAGATCTAGGGCCAGGGCTAGATCTACAGATATTCAAATTCAGCATCTAGGCAATCCAAATCCTGAATAAACTAAAACAAATCCACCGAATTTGCATGACTGCTCTTTATTTTGCACAAATTGTATTCTGGTTCTGCTGAATATTTTGCACAAATTGTATTCTGGTTCTGCTGATAATGGGCTGCATTAGCCCATCGGATAATGAGCTATGTCTCCCCTTGCCCACAATCACTTGAGATCTTATTCAGCCATGTTTCTGAGATTTCATAAGGCATTCTACATATACTTAGAAACCTGCTTTTTAAACAAGAAAGCTAACGTTCTCATGGAGCTGAACTGTGCACTCACTTCCCCATTTTTTTGCACCTTTTTAACACGTTCCCAACCCGCAGCCAAAGATACAGGTGGATATTTCAATTCAGTGTGTCAGATTCAGTCCCCACCCTCACCAGCCTCTGGCACTAAGCGCTGCATTTGCTGGGCAAAGGGCCCAAGCCAGCCTCAGAAAAGTCACTCAACTCAGCAATCTTGCAGTGCTCCATCTCACCATGGCACTGGCCCTGCGAGCAGGGAAGGAAGCTAATGATTAACTCCAATGCACGTTGCCTTTTCCTGCCAGTGCATACCACATACAGGCAGTTAGTCCGAAATCTGTCTGGCACAGCACGCCAGACTTTTTATGTGTGCACAGCTGTGATGGAGCATGAAAGACTGCATGTCAACAGTGCTGTGGAGGTATCCTCTGTGAGACAAGGCTTGGGAGGCACAGAAGGAGAGGCTGCTGAATCAGAGTAATGCCCATCTCAGCATCCAGTTCTCGCAGCGGCCGAACAGCCATCTTAGAGAAGCTGCTCAGAGTAGCTTTTGCGTGATCCCAAGTGGTCTTGCTTCCAAGAACTAGTTAAGCCCAGCTTCCAGCTTCAGAGATGAAATGATGCTGGGTACCTTCAGACTGGGGATAAGAGAATGTTCCTACTTTCAATCCTGCCCACCCCCCATACACACACACACACACACACACACGTGTAATTCTTATCAAAACCCTCTTGGCTTCTCTCAGAATTTCTCAATGCTTCCCCCGAGGAGAAGCCACTAAACTGACTCTGGATTTTGCTCAGGGCTTCAAATTTCTGGGACAGAATGTCTGACCTAGATTCATCCTATTAAGCTGCTTGTCCACTGCGAGCCTATTCAAGCCCCTCTTTCCTATCATATCACAGGAGGAAGCTCACACTTTGTCTGGAAGCAGTGATCCCCCGCTTCCACTGTGATCACACACAACTAATGAATTTCACCGTGAATGAAATCAGTAATCCATCTTCTTGTTTTGTAGTCTTGCTTTGCAAAGAAAACGGCAGGCTGGTTATCTGCACGACTTCTTTCCCTGCTCCTGACTGAGGTGGGAACTGTGCCTCAGAGCACAGTCAGTTTCTTAAAAGAGGAAGGCCAGGTTTCAAGGAAACTTGTGTCTCCTACTCCCAGATAGGCGGACTGTGACTCCTCAGTAATGAGGGAAATCAACTCAGTTCATGCCCAGAGACCCTCACACCTGTATTTGTCTTGTTCCAAGGCTGAGCATTAGCTCAGATTGAGCCATGCACTCTGCGCATGTCAAGAGATAAAAAGAAATCAGCTCAGAATTACTTCTCATTTTTAAACACAAAATAATCATTGGGGGCGACGGTTGGAGTTTCCCACAATTCCTGGCTCCATCTCCACATACCTATTGGCTTGGATGAGCAGAGGCTGAGAGCGCTTGACAACATCGCCTCCGGTCAGAAGACTGGCCTGTTCTCCGTTGCAGAGAGGGTTGCTGTTTGAAAGGGGCCTACTGTGGTCCGATTCCAGGCCATCCTCGTAAACGTTGTCCAAAGTGCTGTTGATGTTGTTTTGGAGAGTTCCCAGGTCCATGTCATTATCTGTAGCAAAGGAAAGGAGACCACCATGACTTGGCTAAATATCCCTTTGATTTGTTTCATTTTTTGCCTATCCGTCTTTCCACGTTAGGTGAAATCAAGAGCCAGCAAAACATCCAAATGTGACAAGATCCCTAGGCGGAGCTAAACCAAAACAATTTGCAGAGCTTAAGTCTGAACCAGTTTTTCCACAGCTGTTACCCTGGACCTCTTGTATTTATGGTTATATGTACTTGAAAGGAGATGTGAAAGTGCACTGTTTGAAACGACACATTGCCGGGCCTCCAAATTTATTCAAAGGAACAAAATTAGAAATTCAGGCTGTGTGTGTGTGTGTGTGTGTGTGTGTGTGTGTGTTGGGGTGGGGCGGGGCTTCAGACATGGTGGTCCCTGGCGATAGGTGACCATTAATCCTCCTTGTGACAGGAGTAATTCCCCATTGTTGCTGCCACCAGCCCACTCACTTTAGGAGCTGGTGGGCAAGCGAGTGTGCCTGGCGAGGAGGAACAACAGAAACTGTTTGCTGCTCCTTGCTCAGTCTCCTGCCCTCTCCTTCAGGGCAGTGGTGGGGACTCAGCAGAGCCACTGCACAGAGGAAGTGGGCAGGTGAGCAAGCAGGAGTGGCCCCTCAGCATCAATGTTAGTGTATGAGTGAGTGGTAATGGCGACAGATGCAATGGTGAGTGAGTGAAAGGAGCAGCAGTAGTAGAGAGATCTGGTGAGTGATGGGCCATTCAGAGGCACAGAGACCTCAGATGCTGCCTCAAAGGGTTCCAAGCTGAGCATGTCCTTGTTGTTCCCCATCTCCTGAGTAAAATTTACAATAGGGGAAACCAGAAACATTTTTATTAGGAATTACAGGTACTGATATACCAAAGGGGCAGAAAAGACGATTCACCCCAAAGGGTGCTCATCAATGGTTCCTCTTCATCCTGGAGAAGAGTGACTAGTGGGGTGCCACAGGGTTCTGTCTTGGGCCCGGTCTTATTCAACATCTTTATCAACGACTTGGATGATGGACTCAAGGGCATCCTGATCAAATTTGCAGATGACACCAAACTGGGAGGGGTGGCTAACACCCCAGAGGACAGGATCACACTTCAAAACGACCTTGACAGATTAGAGAACTGGGCCAAAACAAACAAGATGAACTTTAACAGGGAGAAATGTAAAGTATTGCACTTGGGCAAAAAAAATGAGAGGCACAAATACAAGATGGGGGACACCTGGCTTGAGAGCAGTACATGTGAAAAGGATCTAGGAGCCTTGGTTGACCACAAACTTGACATGAGCCAACAGTGTGACGCGGCAGCTAGAAAAGCCAATGCAATTCTGGGCTGCATCAATAGGAGTATAGCATCTAGATCAAGGGAAGTAATAGTGCCACTGTATTCTGCTCTGGTCAGACCTCACCTGGAGTACTGTGTCCAGTTCTGGGCACCACAGTTCAAGAAGGACACTGACAAACTGGAACGTGTCCAGAGGAGGGCAACCAAAATGGTCAAAGGCCTGGAAACGTTGCCTTATGAGGAACGGCTAAGGGAGCTGGGCATGTTTAGCCTGGAGAAGAGGAGGTTAAGGGGTGATATGATAGCCATGTTCAAATATATAAAAGGATGTCACATAGAGGAGGGAGAAAGGTTGTTTTCTGCTGCTCCAGAGAAGCGGACACGGAGCAATGGATCCAAACTACAAGAAAGAAGATTCCACCTAAACATTAGGAAGAACTTCCTGACAGTAAGAGCTGTTTGACAGTGGAATTTGCTGCCAAGGAGTGTGGTGGAGTCTCCTTCTTTGGAGGTCTTTAAGCAGAGGCTTGACAACCATATGTCAGGAGTGCTCTGATGGTGTTTCCTGTTTGGCAGGGGGTTGGACTCGATGGCCCTTGTGGTCTATTCCAACTCTATGATTCTATGATTCTATGATTCATGTATGGAACAACGGCTGCCTGGATGCCATTAGCTCAGAATTGGAAAGAAGGTAAAGTCCCTACCAGAGAAGAATAGCAAACCAAGCTGATGGATTATGCTGAGATGGCAAAACTGACTGGAAAACTCAGAAACCAAGAGGATAAATTTTTTACAAAAGAATGGGAAAATTTTATAAGTTATTTAGGAGACCACTGTAAGCAGATGGAAACAAAAGCAGGATTTGTAGCATAAAAATTATTATGGATGATACGGTTTGATATAAAAATTGGAGTATGGATGAATATGCAGTTTTAGATGTTTAAAATGGGACCCCATGGAGGGGGAGGGGGGAAGTCTCGAGATTCCGAGAATCTCTTTATGCAGATTTGTTTTTACAGTTTGTGTTCATATATATTTTGTATTTGTAAAACAAATAATTAAAAAAAATAAAATACAATAGGGCAGACTTACCCACCAGGCCAAATTTCTGCCGGTGTCGGATTATGCAAACTTCCACTTGTTAAATTGCATAATTTGGGATTTTAGACACAACGAAACTTGTTTGAAAATACTACAATTAAAGATGTACCCCTAGCCTGCTTAGCACCACACATTAAAGGCCAGCCCAGCCAAGATGGTATTGATCTATGTTTATGGGAAAATGCACAGGCAAAGACTTTGGCAAGCCTCTAGGGGAATTTACCAGCCCTAAACTTACTCTGGCAGCTTTGCAGCAGCACAGGAAATTGAGCAGTGCACTAGGTTAACCACCCAACCGTTTGACCAAGATTGCAATTAGTCCAGTAGTCTGGTTGCCTGCCTTGCTTTAGGAAAAGCTCTCATTCTGCCTTCTAATTTCACAGAGCAAGCTCATCATCCGGATACTGGACTCCCTTGATCAAGTGGTGGAGCACATACAGAACACCCGAGAGTTGATTGCACAGATGACTCAAACACCAATGGAGATGAGGATCCGAATTTCCCTTGTTGAATCCCCAGTTCATTTAGATGGTTAACCACAAGCCAAGTTAAGACTCAACCCAAAGACCGCATGCTGCCTTAGCTCTGAAGTTTTGCTCCAGCTTCCTCAGAGCTCCTCAGCAGGCTGGTCAGCCCTGCCTAGTTGACCATGTCAAACAGCTACTGGGTCTTTAAAGTGAAAAGGTAGATAGCCTTGGCAGACATTAGCATGGAACATTTTCTTTCTCTTTTCCAGGCACTGAGCCCACTCATAGTCTGGAAGGGAAAACAAAGCCCAGTGTTTAGCCTTATTGTACCACGAGGCTCTCAAGGTGTAAATGGAGGCAGCCTGCATTGGTTAGAGTGTGGTGTTGATAATGCCAAGGTTGCAGGTTCGGTCCGTGCGTGGGGCAGTTGCATATTCCTGCACTGCAGAGGGTTGGACTAGATGATCCTCAGGATCCTTCCAACTCTACAATTCTATAATGCCACTCCTCATAATTGCAGGCAGATGGTAAGTGCCTCAAGCCAGGGGGAACCTGTCTTTTCTACCTGACTTTGGCATGACTGCTTTTGAGCAGGAGAGCAGCTGCTACAAAGGGACCAGAAGGTTTAAGAGTGGGGATGGGTAACCTATGACGATCCAGAGGTTGTTGGACTCCCAATTCCCACTGACCCCAGCACAAACACTACACCTGCTCTCCTCAGAGATGGGAGATCTAGGTTCAAATCACTGCTCAGCAATGAGGCCGACGATTGCCTCCCAACTAATTTCTAACATAGCACCTAACAACTTCAGTTTTGCATAGCTGCTGCACCTCTTCAGTCAATCAAATGATTTTAAATCAATTTATCCAAGAGATTAATCGAAACACTGTTATGTGCAGGAAGCACTATACAGTACACAGGAACTGGGGAATTATCAAACAAATTAGGATTCTAAATAAATAAAAATACACTGAAAATGGATACCATACAAGCATGTCAATCAATTGATGCAAATGAGATTTGGTCACACGGGGTCAGCAAAGCCTAGAAATATCGCTGAGTGCAGGTACAGCTAACCTTGGAAGCTTTTGCCCAATCTGCATTAGACTGCATGTGAGGCAAATCATTTTTGCGGCATCTCAACCAGCCTAGCTACTGCCAAAGATCTTGTTGCAATAAATCTGCCAGCCTTTCATGTGCCACAAGACTCTGTAGATTGGTTCCTTCCCTGCAAGAGACTCACACAGGCAGGTGGCAATTGTAGCACCAGGTTCATGGCCAAATTTTCACCTTGTCACCAGTTTCTTACGTGATTCAGACAAGAGATGGATTTTCAAATGCTCAGCAATAATAATAATAATAAAATTCCAGTGCTAGGGTTCCTCCTACCCCTCCTTCCCTCATTTAGCCACCTGCCGCTTCACCTGCCATTTCCTTATCAGAACTGGGCAAAGTGACTCAGGGTTCCTTCCCAGGTCAGAGCATCAATGAAGCCAAAGGTCACAACGCAGTTTAGGTGGCGTGGGAAGAAGTGCTACCGTCTCACAAAGAACAGCTAAAATTATATGACCTGTAAAAAATACGAACAGTCAGCAAAACAGAAAAAAGTTGATTAATTTAAAATTACTTTTGATATTCATGGGGGTGTAAAAAAAGGGGGGTATGCAGGGAATTGAAACCTTACTCCCCGGTGATCAGAAATACCCTCTGGGTTTGAGATTTCATCATGTGCTACCCCTACAATTTTGGGCTTATCATTGCAACAGGAAGGATGAGAAACACAATTAACCAAAAGAAGGCACTAAATTTTCCGCCCGCTCCTAAATCCAGTGTTTGCAAAGAATGCTTGCAGAATTATGAGATTCCAAGAGGATCACAATTAAGTCCATGAAAACTACTAGATAATATATATATATTTAAGCAGCCATATGTGTTACTTCAACTGCCCAAAAAGGGTTTTCAAACAACAACCACCACAACCACAATTGGGATAAAAATTGGCACAACTCCTACAGTATGTGAACAGGACAGTGTCTATTACAAGCCTGTCTCTTAAAAGACACACAAGCAACCTGGCGAAAGATGGAGACTCTGTAGTCTCCTCTGCCCATTACAAAGATGGCGCCTCCAACCCTCAGGCAAAAC